TCTTTCAAAACTAGGCTTAGTTTGGGAATTCCCTTATTATTTTGGCTTATTTAGGGAAATGCCCCCTCTCACTTTCCTCCTCCGTAATCAATTGACGTTGTACTTTCCTATACCATCAAATGGAAAGATTATGTCGGGAAAATCGATTGAAGGTGCCAAAAGCACGTTCTGTTGAGATCCAAAAGGAAGATCCTGATAATGTTGATCGACTATGTGAAAGACTACAACGTGAGATTTCTCAAATGAACCGTAGGTTAGCCCGCGATATACAGCTATACATAGTTAAGAAGGATGCCCAGAAGAACAAAACAAAACCAAATCATGCGGCTATCAAGGGTATCATGGAGGATCCTCAGCTTGTCTCTGATGCTGAGCTTTCGGATTGTTCAGGCTTTGAGCCACCTACCGATTTAAGCGCGAATTAGGTGTTAATGTCTACACTTCGGTAATATTAGGTCATGCATTAATATGTAATGTCTGTGTTAGAGTAAGTGTTTCCGTAATGAGTTGGTCAGATTGTCTGACTAATATTTGTCTGTCTAACTGTTATGTTTATCTATGTATTGTGTGTTTAGTTCATGGTGTCCACAATGTATTGTTGTTCGAGACTTATGTTTGTACTACTTATGTATTTTTGTGGGAGACTTATGTGTTTTTTCCTCAAGGTTTTATGAATTACATTATCAGCTTCTAACCCAAAACAAAAACAATAGAAAAAAAATATTATTTAAATGAAAACGGCTTTAGTAAAGCCAAAATCAATTTCTGAACAACACATTCTAACCCAAAACAAAGAGAAGAGAAAAAAATAAAAAATATCAAAGTTTACATGAAAACGGCTTTAGCGAAGCGAGAAGAAATTTATGAATTACATTATCAGCTTCTAACCCAAAACAAAGACAACAGAAAAAAAAAATTATTTAAATGAAAACGGCTTTAGTAAAGCCAAAACTAATTTCTGAATAACACATTCTAACCCAAAATAAAGAGAAGAGAAAAAAATAAAAAATATCAAAGTTTACATGAAAACGGCTTTGGTAAAGCGATAAGAAATTTATGAATTACATTATCAGCTTCTAACCCAAAACAAAGACAACAGAAAAAAAAAAATATTATTTACATGAAAACGACTTTAGTAAAGCCAAAACAAAATTCTGAATAACACATTATAACCCAAAACAAAGACAAGAAAAAAAATAAAAAATAAAAAACTTTACATGAAAATAGCTTTAGTAAAGTGAAAAGAAATTTATGAATTACATTATCACTTTCTAACCCAAAATAAAGACAAAAGAAAAAATATATATATTTAAATGAAAACAGATTTATTAAAGCCCAAACAAATTACTGAATAACACCTTATAACGCAAAACAAAGAAATAATAATTAAAAAAAAATTGACATCAAAACTGCTTTACTAAAGCTCAAAAAATTTATGAATTACATTATTACCTTCTAACCCAAAACAAATACAAGAAAAAACAAATTAAATTTACTTTAGTCAAACAAAATAAAAAAATGCTGAATTACACATTCTAACCCAAAATAAAGACAAAAGGAAAGAAAAAAAAATTAATATGAGAACGGTTTTAGTAAAAGAATTTTAACCAAAAAAATTATTCTGAAATATATTATCACCAAAACAATGACAACATAAACAAAAGAACGAAATTTTTTTCTTTAAAGTTCAGTAAAATTGAAATTAAAAAAAAAATTACGCTAAAAGCGCGGTTCATAAAAAAATTTGGCAAAAAACCGTGGTTCTAAAGAGTGAGGTTAAAATTTTTTTTCATAAAACGTGAGTTTTGGTGAACTCGTGGTTACAAAGAGCGAGTTCATTAGAAATTTTTTTTTGATAAACTCGTGCTTACAAACAGCGAGTTGCTAAACTCATGCTTTCAAAAAGTGAGTTTAGCCTGGGATAAAATCGTTCTTGCGAAAAGCGAGTTCAAAAGGAAAAAAAATTAATCAAATAAAGAAAAAAAAATTAATCAAACTCGCATTTTCTAACAGCGAGTTCTTAATTAGACTCACTTTTCGTAACAGCGAGTTTAAATTTTGGCAGGTTTCAGGTGACAGGGGTGAAAAAGTGTTGAACTCGCGATTGTGAACCGCGAGTTAACTCATTTTGGGAAATCTTTCAAAACTAGGCTTAGTTTTGAATTCCCTTATTATTTTGACTTATTTAGGGAAATGCCCCTAGTAGCACCAAAGCAATCCTCATTTCCCTCCAAATTCCAATTCAATATACATACATATATATCCCTCATCAAGTTCTCTCAGATGATCAACACTAGTTTCTCTCTCTAAAACAAACTTTTTAGCTCTCCGATTTGCAGAGCAATCTAATCACATTCTCTCTCATCTGTTTCGTCAGAAGTCGAAGAAGGCAACGAACAAAGATGGAAGACTATTTGCTTTACATGAAGACATTACGCTCTCAAATGAACGGTACATATACGGAAATCGAATTTGAGATGTTCAGCTTTGTTGTATCTCGAGCTGTTGATGATTTTGAGTTTTGTGATTTCTAATTAATTTGCAAAATATTTGGTACTGAATTGAAGATGTGGAGGATCAAGCGACGAAGATATCAGTTGAAGAGCAAATGCAAATTACTACAATTCAAACTCTACAGAAAGACCTTGATTTAGGTTTTCTCTTCTTCTTCTTCTCCTTCTATGGAAATTGTGTGCCAATCTGTAAATTTCATTGTTGAATTTACTTCACAGAAACTTAAAAATCGTTACAATGTTTAGCACAGAATAGTCACTAGTTATTGAAGTTGTATGTATTAATGTAGCTCATTCCGATATCAAGCAACTTAAAGAGGAAACTGACCAGATGGTGAAGGCTGAGGGACAGATTTGCGCCCAGATTTTGGAAAAACAGAGAAAAATTGCCTATATGGAATCTGATTCATCCACACTTTCCCAGGTATGCCTTTTTATTTATTTATTTATTAATTCAAATGTTCATATTTAAGTGTTCTCCAAAAAAATTGATGGATTATACTTGTGTGTGTACTTCTCCAAATGGAGCAGAATTTGAATTAATATAAGTTGTGTTAATGCCAGTTCGTGTGGAAGTTTGTAAATGTTGTAGTAATAATGTTTTGCATGCACTTGGATTCTTTCACACACATATTTAATAACATTGGTAGAAATAGATAAGCAATTATACTAGATGGTGCATGGTGGATATGGTTCTGGTGACCGAAACAAGGCTGGAGAGGGCATGCTAGATTTTATTATCTGGTATTTGATATGAAGTCACCTTTCTTGAGTAAGGCGTTTGTAAGTTCAAAAGGTAACAATTTCATGTAAATGAAATATTGTCCAAAAGGGAAAATAACTTTTCAATGGGCTATTGACCAGAGTTTTTTGTGAAAAGGGGGCATCCAATCAGCAACGTATTTATAAGCAATTATTTCAATCCCTCTGTTTTATCTTAAAAGTTAGAGGGTTCATTTATATGCATGTCACTTATATGTTAAAATAAATAAATAAATTATGTGCATCATAAAAGAACAACTAACTTGGTTTAATTAACCCAAGAAACCCACAAATGCTACTTTATTGATGTTGTTCTTCACTCCTGTGGCATACAGACGCTGGAGCTTATTCAACAAGAAAGAGTCAGTTTGTCAGCGAAATTTGTGGAGAAAAGGTAATTTGAAGTGCAAACTTAAAGATGGGGGTGAACTCAATATTATGCAAGATTGATGATGCCTTTTTATTTTTTTATTTACTGCAACAGCACTTATTATACTAAGGTTTTTGAGAACATCAATGCCAAATTACAAGAACAACAGGTTTTATACCATTTTATTATGTATATATTGCCTTTTTTATATTAACATTCCAATAAGTAAATGAAGGGTCTTTGTTGGTTTGAGTAGGATTGGATGAACTCTTACAAACTTAGTTCAACCGTTGGGCAGCATGGTTTGGTAATTTTCAGCAATACCCTCTCTCTCTCTCTCTGTCTGTGTGCGTGTGTCTGTGCGTGTGTACTTTTGAGTTGTGATAATATATGTACACACATATCAGGCTTTTATTTGGATTCTGTGAGCCAAATATACTCAATGACTAGTCACCGGTAATTGTAAATGCAATGTTTTCTTTCTAATTGCCTCAATAGTTTTCGTGTGTATTTTAATCAAATCAGGGGCATGACACTGAAACTAATAAAAGTGATAAGCCTTTTGATCCATTTGTTTTTTCTGTTTTAAAAAAATGGTACACCCTGTTTAGTCCCGATTGGATGGAGGTCTCAAATAATTTTGTTTATCTAGCTTTCTCACATTATATTTAAATCTTTGCATCGCCTTGATGTTTTTTTAATAAAGTTTGCTTATTTATCCAAAAAAAAAAAAAAATTTTCTTTTCTTTTTCTCTCTTTATGGTAAAAAAAAAAAAAAAAACATTATTTTTAACTCTTTACTTCCTAACAGAAATTCTTGTAATGCTACTGATTTTAATCCGTACAGATCAAGGATAAAACTGGTGAGCAAATAGGTGAAACTGAAGGTATGATGCATGATTAACAAAGAAGTTTTTCTTAATGTTAGATGGCATTTATGAAAATTTGCTTCTGATCTGTTACTGCTGCATGCTGTTTCAATGGTGACTTTATTTTGATGGGAAAACATGGCAACCATCTGAACAGTATGATTGCTGACCTGGAATTATCATGAAGAAAAAATTATCTAAGTTGATAGTGCCTTCCTGTTTCAAGCTAATAAACTGCCATAACTACATTTAATCCCAAACAATTGCCCGATTTTGAGTAGTAGTCCCCCCATTAAAAAATATAAATAAAAATCTTAGGAGATGTTCAGAGCAGAGAGTTCAAAAGCCATCATATGTTCAGATGCAAGGAATTGTGTCTGAATTGAAACTCATATAAGGTGCCAGCTCTGCTTGCATGGATTTGCTTCCCAAAATTCCTGGAGTATGTATTTTTTGTCAGATAATATATTGGCTACTGCATTAGGATAAAACATGCTTTTTATTAGCATTGGAAACTGAATAACCAAATTACATATATCTTAGGAGATGTTCAGAGCACAGAGTTCAAAAACCATCATATGTTCAGATGCAAGGAATTGTGTCTGAATTGAAACTCATATAAGGTGCCAGCTCTGCTTGTATGGATTTGCTTCCCAAAATTCCTGGAGTATGTATTTTTTGTCAGATGATATATTGTCTACTGCATTAGGATAAAACATGCTTTTGATTAGCATTGGAAACTGAATAACCAAATTACATATGAACAAGGTAAGTTGTTTTCACGTCAGCTGGGGTGCATTGGAAACCGAGGTACTGATTCACAGTTTGTATACATCAAATGTATAATATCCACTTTCCTCACTTATTGAACTTAACTTGCAGGGAAGTGTAGTATTGAGAGCTATATCATTTCAGAAAATGTGGTATGGACATATCATTTCATGATCCTTTTGGCTACTATAGAGTTTCAGTGTTTCATTTGTCTTTTTGGAATTTCAGGATCATGTGAAGAACCTAGTGACTAAGTTACAGTCTGCTAAAGCTAAGTTTGATTTGGTGACACAAACAAAATCCAAATTTGTTTTGGAGAATAGCAAGGTTCATATATTAAATTCTGATTTCAATAACTTGAGTGGATGCACATAGATACTTGAAACTTTTATTGTAAGAAAAATGAAATTTTATTTTATTGAATTGGTTGTGAAGAAAATAATAATTATCTGGGTGCTAGGGTCAATTCATCTATTGAAATCATTAGTATCTAAGAAACATGAATTATGTGGTTTGTATACAAGTACATATCACATACGTATATATGCTGCTTCAAGATCTTCTCTCTTGGTTGCTCTTTGTTTTCCATTTTCCCTAATCTCTGATTTTATCCAATGGGGGGAATGCATAATTTTACGTAGTCTTTCACAAGTCCCTTTTATTTCTTCCAGCACTTTCTGATCGACAATAGGTGATGTTGTTCACTTAAACACATATTTTTAGTATATGAATTTATGTATGTTTAGTAACTTTTACAATAGGTTCCCATTCCCAGACTGAGAAATTGATCAAGTTTTTATTGAAGTTATATTTTATATTTTATTATTTTACATGTTTTTTTTCTGGAAGAACACCCAGGTGAAGATATGCTCTCATGTATTATATATTGTTTATGGTCAGGCTGAATCATTCAAGTATTTCCTTAAACCCAATCCATCACCGCCTTCTGAAAGTACTAAAATGAAACAGAATAAGACAAAATCAGTTAGCAGTTGACATTTAGTGAATAACTTTCATCATATTCGGATGCTGCTTATTTTAATTTATGCAGTAGATATCATACAACTAATTGAAGATTCGAAAGGATGTCTTCATTCATAACTTCCATTATTTCAGGTAAAGCAATCTGTTGAGCTAGTGAAGTGCCGGATAAGTGATTTTAAGGTCAGTTATCTATCAGTGCTTTTTATCCCTTTATTAAGCAAATATCTGTAAAGTTTCTATAATTTTTTACGATCCCACATAATGATGTCAAAATCAACATCAGAGGATGCCACTGCCTGATTGCTTTAAGTAATAAGATGCAAACCATTAAATCATGGGGTTTTGAGAGAAAGTTTTGGACTATTTATTATTTTTATTGGAAATAATGACTTTATATCTTTTGGTCCATTATGTATTCATGTTAATCTTCTTCAATTGTTGGGTGATTATAGCCAGAGCTCTGGGCAATGAATGTGAAGACCCTGGAAGAGGAATATCAAGCTCTCTTATCTGACAGAGCTGGAGAAACTGAGTATTTGCACTCTCTGCAGCAGCAATTTGAGAGACTGAAGGTTGATGTCTGTGTCTATTTTATTTTTCTTTTTCTGGTGATAACAAAACATTTTTGTAAACTTTAAAGTTAAATAACTACTATAACTTTTTGATGAAATGACTATTGGATCTGGGAAAATATGAGTTGAAAAAGAAGAATATTTGTTAGATGGTTTAATTAGAAGTTCTACCAGTGTGAACTGGGATTTTGTTTTGCAATGACGTCAAAATCTTGGTTGTGAAAACTAATGGAAATTGGATAAAATATATGAGTTGTACTACTCTGTTTGTTTTGCAACAAATTTTTTTTTTTTTTTTTTTTTGTTCCTAATTGAAGACAATGGTACCTGCTACAATTTATATTTTCATCATGGAAACTCCTATGGAATTCATTTTTGCCACTGCTTTTTACAGGATATTTCTCATGTAGTTAAATGTGCTTGTGGAGAGGAATACAATGTAGAAGTGGATCTTTTGTCAATAGCAAAAAAAAGGCATGCAGTCAACTCTGCATAACTAAGGAGGCGAGGAAAAGGAATCAAAATTCATGTAGATTAGAATTTGATGATTCAGCATTGTCACTGGATAGGTAAATGCATAAACATTTTTGTTAAAACTAACTGTGCAAAATGAGTGATGGAACTGCTATAGTTGTTTCAATAAAGCAAAACGAGGCACAACTGCAGAATGCCTTTATCCAATCCTGTATAAATTTTTTGTTGAAGAAATATTACACATCATCACATCATAAAGCTGTTTCTTTATTTTCTGATATGTGATGAAAATGATCTATACCCATGCTAAAATTATAGGTCATCACTATGGGAAAAATTATGTCTTTCACATTTAAGGAAAAAATTTGGTGTAAAAAATTATATTTTTCACATTTTTGCACTCTCATGTTCCATATTCTCACCCACACTCGGCAACTTACCTATCTCTAGGCACAGATCAGAACACATTTATAATGCCAAATAATATTGTTGCTGGAGAAGTTAATTGTTTCACGAGTGCCTCATATAATGATAATGTCAATATGCAAAACTTGTAAATCTTTACATCAAATTGGATTTGTATTTTCTTTATATATGTAATTATGTACTTATTTCTGCATTATCTATGAAGGTATAACATGAACCCTTCATCCCATAAGTGATAGTGTTAAAGTAAAAATCACAAGATCTGTAGAGCCTTTAAAGCTGCAGAGATATCATGAGCTTCATGACCCTCAATGAACGCAATGCTAGGGCTAACTTGAGGGACTACATCTTCCCTTTTAAAACTTTCTTCACTGCGCAAAAGCATCTCACTGCCAAATTCCACAGAATTTCTTAAAATAACAGTCTTGTGAAGGCCAACCAACAGGTCTTCATAGTCTGTATCCCCTCTTTCCCCAACGAACACTACCATTTTGGAAAGATCAATACCCCACCTCACTGACAGATACCTGAATAACATGCAGGAACATAAGGTGTGATTGGCTGATCTCATTTTTTACTGTGGTACAACTAAGTCGTGCGCATGTAGACTACACAACACAAAACCATGGTGCACACCCACAGAATTAAGCAAATTATGAATAGAAGGTCTAACCTTAGTGTTTGGGCTCTTGATGCAAATAATGGTACGACATTCAACCTGGATGCAGCATGAGTGTAGACAATATTGCATCGCAATCCTCTCATCCGCAGCTTCTGGCGCAGTTTGTCAACCCTTCGAGTCTGCTAACCACACATTTTAGCAATGATTAGAAAGATTATACCACCATAATGCAGTGTCTTAGATAGTAAGCTCTATGATCTCTCTCCGATGTCTTTTTTCTAATTATCGAATATCATGTACAATGGTTTAGAAAATCTTACCTTGGCTCCTGGTTTGATGATGTAAGAATAGCAACGAGAGCTAAATGCATCTGGATACTCCAAAATATCATCCTCTTCTCCATCTTCTGCCTTGCCAAGTCTCATTATCATCGATCGTACATTCTCACCAGGCCACCTGTACTCAATATGGGCTTCATAGTCCATATCAGCTACAGAATCCCTCCATGGATAGTATAGTGTACTTCCACTGTTACAGACTAAAGCATCGAAATCTTCCAAACGTACATGGCTACGTTTTAATATTTCCTTTGTCTCAAGTAAAGTTAAACCTGTCAACAATAAAAATCCTATCTGGCTTGAGCTCGAAACTGCAGCCTCCATCACATTCTTGATGACTAATGGTAAGGTCTCAGTGCACACACCATCCCTATGGTAACAATCAGTGGCTATAACAAATAGCTCCTGCCTTCTTCCTGGACAGTAACTAATGTTGGAATGGCCATTGGAGGAAGCCATTTGGGTTAGGGCCTCAATGAGTTTGCTTTGTCTATTTGCTGTATCAAGGTCTCCATTAGGCTTGAAGTCTGCATCAATGGAGAATTTTAAAGAAAGGTCTTCCACATCCCTTAGTGAGTCGCTCATGGGTTCTTCAGGCATAGGCATGATCTCAAGACGGAATGTAGGATGGTGGTTCCTGCAATTTTCAACATGGGAAAGGTAGTTGCGGCAATGTTCTGGCCATGAGAAGCGGTTGATATTCTTTAGGCCATTTTTGCGGCACTCGACCCAGAGGTTTTTATCAGCTACAAGCTTTAGGAGGGCATCTGCTATGGCTTTCTGGTCATGTGGATCGATGAGAAGACCATTGTTGAGTGCCTGATTGAACAAGGAGCTCCCAATCAGATTTGTTGACTACTTTCTTGTGAGACACCTTTTAAAAGTTTAGTGTATAGTTTTGGGCTATCATGGGGTCGAATCTCAACAGATGAGGTTCAAGTACCCACTAAAATCCCAAATTAATTAGTTTGTGGCCCAAGAATCAACCAGTGAGCGACTGAAGAGACTTAAATTATCTATGAGTTTTACCTTGAGAATATCCACAGGCCCACCATTTTTTGTGGCAACAATAGGTAAACCATAAGCAGCTGCCTGCAAGATATGGAGATATTTGAGCCTTAAGTTTTTTAGTCTTTCCTTTGCAAGGATAGTCAACCTCATCAAGTCCATTCAATAAGTGAGATGGATATAGTTTTGACTAACCTCTATGAGTGTCAGGCCAAATGGTTCAACAAGGGCTGGGTTGATGAAAACTCCCTTCAAGAGACAAACCCACCAGAAGTAAGACTATTAGCAGTGTTAATGTTGCAATGAAAAGCCAAGTTAAATAATATACGCTGGTGAACTGTGGTCTACAATTCACATAGATTATCCCATCAGGGTCCACCAATTATTGGAACCTGGCTAGCTGATGACTTAAAAATCTCAGAACCATCTCCTAAATTTGACCTTACAATTTGCTTAGAGTTAAATCAGGGTACATATTTTACCTTCGTTTTTGCAGCCAGGCGATAGATCTCAGGGACATCTGACTGTTTGTGATGCTTGGGATATGCTACCTGACCATACAGATCATACTTGTCAATGAGCTTGAGTACTGTTGTAAGAACAGCTGAACTGCTGTTAGCCATCTCCTCTATGTCATCTCTGTTACCAAGTATTAGGGTCTGCAATAAGAATTTGGAATCATCCACAGATGTTACTCAAAATTATGAGCTATGTAAATACCACAAAGATATTGCAGAGAACTGTTATTTTTACCATGTTTGCTAGTTCTCTAAGTGGTCGGCATTCTCCAAAAGCCTTGAGCAAAGTGGTCACATTTTTCTTAGGGTCTGGACGAGACAATGCAAGGATCATAGGCTTGTGAGGGTTTATGAAAAATCGCATTATCTGCATTGAAATACCCAAAAGGTTAATGGTATTATTTATTAAGACATGACATCTATACAAATGAAAATGATCATTTGTTAGGATGACACTATTATTTGCAAGTGGGGAAGAAAAGGATGCCTGACCTCGGACCATATTGGAGGTACGTGCCTTCTGTTTTGGTTTTTATCAAAGTCAATCAACGACTTAAGATCTCCATCACCTTCCAATGAATCTTGTGATGTGACATAGCTGAAGTCCATCCCCGGTGGTATAACCTAGTTCCATGTAATAATCAGATTATGAACTTAGGCTTACTTTATATGCCAAAAATTTCAAGGAGTACCCAACTACCCATTTTACAGTACAAAAATGCACATAACACGGAATACCCTACAAAACGCACATACAACTTCCCTTCCCTTGGGAGATCCATCGGTTTGATTAAGCTAGTATGTTGGTGAGTTTTTTTGCTTAATTAAACTATTGATTTTATCATTGCACAGGAAACTCTCTTGAAGGTTTATTTCGTTAGTTTTATGATCCTGTAGTTCTGATATCTGTAAGTACATATATATTATCTCTGGCATGCATATTTGGAGTTTGACAATTGCTTTTTTAACAGTTTTTTTGTTGGATTGTTTCGGTTTTAGTAAACTTTAAAAAAACAAAAGTAAAAAAAAGCCTTACACTTGTAGGTTCGTCTCAACTAGACGAACTTAAAAAGTAAAAAATAAAAAAAAAAATATTTTAAAAGGTTTACTATAAACCAAAAAATAAAAAATAAAAGTTGGATTAAAAAAAAAATTTAGATGCTTCTAGACTAGACGGATCTAACAAGTAAATTTTTTGACACAAATCTACAAAAAAATTTCAAGAAGCATTTTTTTTTCAAATTACAAAAACGCCACATTTTGTGCAAAAAATGTCCCTTTTTTAGCTGGTCCCAAACAGGAAGATGATTTTAACTGTCATTCGTGTGTTTATCAAGAAGTCACTGTACACGTACCACCATCCTTGCCATGTGTCGGCCAAGACAACTCACTCCACGCTGTCTCCTAACCCTAAGCTTCCTCTCCAACTTGACATCAAACCCATCATATAAACCCCATTGCTCATCAATCTCTTGCCTTGTGCTAGTTACCACCATTTCCGCAGCATCCAACGCCAACTCTTCAGCCTCAATCCTCCTCATAATCTTGTACATTGAATTTATGTCCTCCCTAGACAGCCTCCCTTGTTGAAGTAATTGCTCAAACTTGTTCCGTCCCAAGGAATGCCCTGTTAGGACCATAGGCACGTTCAATGCCCCTGACAAGCGAGCTGCTACTTCCCCTGCATCGGCATAGTGACTGTGAATCACATAAGGCCATGTCGGCTTCCCGCCATCCACTTGTTCTCCTAGAACTCTTGCCATGTTGACAATGTGGCCTAGAGCCCCATCCACAAATTCTGGTATGTGAGGCCACAGTGATTCTTTTGGCATGTACCTGTTGTTGTGGCCACGATTAGACACATTGTGTTTTGGAATATTCGAACTCAACTTGCACAAGTTTATTTAAATTAGTGGGATTAAACAGTTTAAAAACAAAATAAATGAAATATGTATGTAATGTAATTAATTACTTATCGCGAGGTCCACATGGGATGCGGATGATGTAGGCACCACAACTACCTGTCCCATCAGATGGGCATGACAACATCTCAATGGGCTCGCCATAGCTAGAGTCGATATCTGATGAGGAGATTTGTCTAGTCAGAAGGTCAACACGGTAAACTCCATTCATGTTGGCCAGTGCTCGTGCAAGCTCTACTACATACTTCACCTGAACATATATAAACAAAATTATGAGCATATACTATACGATACAATATAATACATTTTAGAATTAGAATTGTAATATGAGATTGACTTAATTTAAATGCTGCTTTTTTCAGTTTAGACCATTGATGGCATTGGCTTGGCATCAATTAAGGGCTAAGTGGATTGTGTATTCTCTTCCCATAGTTACATTGTCATTAATTAACTACCTGACCACCAGTATCTGAATCTCTTCCAAGTTCCATGTTTTCTCCACGCACCAATCCATGCAGACTACATAACACGATAAACATATCATATCAGACTCATACCCATTAGTATCATCCTCATTTCTAGTTCCATATTTTGTACAATCAATTTGACAAGTATTGCCTACTAGAAAATAGCATAGGCCTTGTTTGGTGCAACTCCTTAGAGTTGCTTATAGCCTTTTTATTTCAAAATTTGTGTCAGATAGTTTCTGCTTTTAGCTTACGAGGTAGAAATAGCTTTAAAAAAAATTGAAAATGCTGATTATCTAGAAGTTGGGTTTTCTTTCTGTTTTCAGTTTGATAACTGTTGTGCATGTAGTAGTACCTAATTAGGACGATGTAGAGGCGCCCAGATTTGTGGTCGTCTGACCAGATTTGCATATCGGAGGTAATTCTGGGAATCTTATCTGATGATGGAGATTCTGTTTGATTGATATCACCCTTCTCCCTTTCGCCTTCAGAAAGGTCAGAAAGGTCGTCTGCAGCATCCTTGCGCCCTTTCTCCCGCTCTCGTCGTCGTTTTGTAAGGTTTTTCTCATCATCCCAAGCTATCTGCAAAGGTAACAACAATTTTTTCTCCCAGATTTCTAAGTCCCAAACATTATATCAGACCATGAAGAAAAGCTACATAATTATATAAAGTTGTTCATTACAACATTTGTAGAGCTTTTTTACTTTTAACAGCAGTATCAGTTTGTGTGTTTTACCTGCTGCTGGATTATAGTTTACATATTGTTGTTCTTTGGTTTTCATGAAAAGAATCATCTAAAAATGTAAACAAGTTAATGCCACCAAAAGGGGACAAAACACAGAATATTGTTAATGAAATTGATTTCTAGCATTTATTTTTCTTGTTTTTTTTTCTCACTGGGATACTTATATTCTTTGTGATCCTTTGTGACCCTTTGGTTCATTCATTGTGAGAATGATTTTGGCGTCTCAAAAGAGGCATTTCTGGAGGATAAAATTAAAGTGGCAGTAGGCATGGCCATCTGTCTTAATAATTTGTGCGAGTAGCATTGGGCTCCATACGGTTCATGGATAGAAAAATGCTCTGGAGTTCTAATTATTGAGCTCTAAAGAGCTAGCAATGGGTCCCACTCACTATGATGTGATTTTTTGGTTTTTTTTTTCCTTACCATATCATTAGTGTTTCATTAAAACACCAAAATTAGTGTTCTGAATCATTGTTGTTCATGGATAATCAAATGTTTGTAGTGACTTGATTTGTTGATTTTACTTTTTGGTTCTTCGAGTAATTGCTAGCAGAAGATAAATATTTAGGAAAATTATAGTGTAGCTATGAATTTTTTTGGAAATAGAAATTGTTTTACCAAGCTTCAAAACATGAGTTATGTGCTTAATATGATATAAAATAGCTATATATATTGATCATACTTGCACTACAGTTTGTGTGTTCTCAAACTTCCATACCATTGCATAGGGAATCCTAGCTTCAAGTTCATCATCCATATATATATATAGCATCTGAGTCCACGGGATGTGTGGGCAAATGAACATGCATTGATTTGTTGATTGTACTTTTTGATCCTTAGAGTAACTGTTAGGCAAAGGTAAACATTTACACCGTGTCTAGTTTTTGGATTTGAGAAGGGATTTTGGAAAAGGAAAGGAAAAAGGTATGTGAAATTAGATGAAATATAGATATATTTTATTTATATTTTTCCTTTTCTTTTCCAAATTCCTTTCTAAATCTTCTAACCAAACGCAGCGAGAAAATTATGTTGCAGTGAATTTTTTTGGGAATTGAAATTGAATTTTTTTGGGAATTGAAATTGCGTGACAAAATTTCACACTAAGGGTTTGGCTTCTACTTCAAGAGAGCATTTGGATTTGATAGGAATCAATTTCGGTAATTTAGATTGTTCACTTCATTTAATAAAATATTCATGTAAAAAATTAAAATAATCAAATATCAGTAACTATATCTTTGAATTGAAGTGTTGGCATATATTTGAGAAGTTGGTTATTTTAATTTTTAGCTATTTTAATAGTTTAAAATAAGTATGTTTGGAAGATAATTGAATTTTTTTTGGTTAAATGTGATATTTATGAGAAAAAAACAGTGAAATAATTATGAATTTGAAGTGATATTTTGTTTTATTAATTATTTTAATTTATTTTATCTTTTAATGCTATTTTTGTCTAAAAAGTCAAAACAAACCTATTGCCAAACACGGAATGAGAGAGAGAGCGAGAGAGCGACCTGTTTCTTTTTACGGGCGAGATGCCAAATACGCCAGCACATATTCTCAAGTCTGTTGGTGCGTTCACGAGTATTCCTTGTTGCTATTACCTGTCACTTCATAACACCACCATAAAAAAAACACAAAAATAACAAAACTCACGCCTGTTTATAATCATTTTATTTTCAATTTTCACTTTATATTTGTAAAATTTTAAAAAATTATTATAAAAATTTGCTTAATAATTTTTTTGATTTATAAATAATTATCTCAATTTATAAATTTGAAGAAAAAATGTAAACTTAAAAAATGAGTTTATTTTAGTTTTTAAATAAAAATTTAAAAATTTAACTAATAATTTTTTTTTCAAATATTTTTTTTTTCCAATTATAATGTGTATGATCCTATATTCATAAATAATAAAAAATAAATATAAATATTTTAGGTCTGAACAAATATATTTTTTAGTTTATATTTTAAACATTTTTTTCGAACCAAATGCATTTATAATTTATATTTTTCTAAAAACAAACAAAAATTAATTTATAAAATTTTTGTAAACATAAATTAAAAACGTAAATATTAATTTCCCACTTTGACTTCACATCTCCTTTTCACATTTATGATTGACAATAGTTAAAATAAGCACCACAAATACTTCTTCACATACACTAATTATAAAGATTTCTCTTTTACAAATAATCTTCACGAGCTATATCACATGTCCTCTTAAATTTGGAATATCTATATATATTTTCGGTACATAAAATTTGAGTTTATTGTCATTTTACTTGGCATTAATTAACTTGTATACAAATTATGCACTACTTCGTCCTGTTTGATTTAGTGCTTCATTTTGTTTTGTTTATTTATTTATTTTTTTGTTGGCTTATTTTGTCTTTAGTCATTTTTTTTATTTTTATTTTTAAAAATATTTAGGCTTCTAGATTGTACTCAATGAGATGGACTGGAAAATTTTAAAAAAATTAAAAATTTCAAAAAAAGTCTAGAAAAAACAAAAATAAACAAAGAATGGTTATTTTATTTTATTTATTTATTTGTTTATTTTGGATTTTAAAAAAATTAAAAATTTCAATTTACTAAAAATTTATAATTATTGTGCAATTCTCGCGTTGCATAAGAATGGTATAGAATGGTTCATTATGTTTTTCATACATTAGTGTTTTTTTATCTTCAATTTCTTGTATCTGTAACATGAATTATTTTTTTCAAAGCAATGTAACATGAAATTTTTTTAACTTTTATAGTAGTAGTCTATTTGCTTTAAAGTAGGAAATATCTCCGTCTTCAATAAGAAAGTTTGTCCTTGTTAATGCTTTAAAATATCTGTGCAAAGCCTAACTTCTTTAGAACATCTGATTGGATATCAATGCAAAAAAAAGTCCAGAATCCTTGACTCTTGGTTAGGGGTATAAATAAATAGAGTCGTTCATGAATAGGTTCGAGTTCGGCTTGGTAAGAGCTTGTTCGAACTCGATTTGTTAAATTTTTCTTTTTTTCGTTCGAGCACAAGTTCGAACTCGTTAAATTTTTAATAAACAAACCTAAACATTCTAAAGTTCTGCTCCGAAACTCGGTTTTACCTGCTGCTGGATTATAGTTTACATATTGATGTTCTTTGGTTGTCATGAAAAGAATCATCTAAAAATGTAAACAAGTTAATGCCACCAAAAGGGGACAAAACACAGAATATTGTTAATGAAATTGATTTCTAGCATTTATTTTTCTTGTTTTTTTTTCTCACTGGGATACTTATATTCTTTGTGATCCTTTGTGACCCTTTGGTTCATTCATTGTGAGAATGATTTTGGCGTCTCAAAAGAGGCATTTCTGGAGGATAAAATTAAAGTGGCAGTAGGCATGGCCATCTGTCTTAATAATTTGTGCGAGTAGCATTGGGCTCCATACGGTTCATGGATAGAAAAATGCTCTGGAGTTCTAATTATTGAGCTCTAAAGAGCTAGCAATGGGTCCCACTCACTTAGTTTTCGTTTTTTTTTTTTTTTTTTCCTTACCATATCATTAGTGTTCCATTAGGGCATTAGTGTTCTGAATCATTGTTATTCATGGATAATCGAATGTCTGTAGTGACTTGATTTGTTGATTTTACTTTTTGGTCCTTCGAATAATTGCCAGCAGAAGATAAATATTTAGGAAAATTATAGTGTAGCTATGAATTTTTTTGGAAATAGAAATTGTTTTACCAAGCTTCAAAACATGAGTTATGTGCTTAATATGATATAAAATAGCTATATATATTGATCATACTTGCAGTACAGTTTGTGTGTTTTCAAATTTCCATACCATTGCATAGGGAATCCTAGCTTCAAGTTCATCATCCATATATATATATACATAGCATCTGAGTCCACGGGATGTGTGGGCAAATGAACATGCATTGATTTGTTGATTTTACTTTTTGATCCTTAGAGTAACTGTTAGGCAAAGGTAAACATTTACACCATGTCTAATTTGGAGATTTGAGAAGGGATTTTAGAAAAGGAAAGGAAAAAAATGTGTGAAATTAGGTGAAATATAAATATATTTTATTCACATTTTATGTTTGGAAAGATAATTGAATTTTTTTTTTGGTTAAATGTGGTATTTATGAGAAAAAAAAGTGAAATAATTATGAATTTAGAGTGATATTTTATTTTATTAATTATTTTAATTTATTTTATCTTTTAATGCTATTTTTGTCTAAAAAGTGAAAACAAACCTATTGCCAAACACGGAATGAGAGAGAGAGAGAGAGAGCGACCTGTTTCTTTTTACGGGCGAGATGCCAAATACGCCAGCACATATTCTCAAGTCTGTTGGTGCGTTCACGAGTATTCCTTGTAGCTATTACCTGTCAATTCATAACACCACCATCAAAAAACACAAAAATAATCAAACTCACACGCCTGTTTGTAATCCTTTCATTTTCAATTTTCATTTTATATTTGTAAAAATTTTAAAAATTGTTATAAAAATTTATTTAATAATTTTTTTATTTATAAATAATTATCTCAATTTATAAATTTGAAGAAAAAACGTAAACTTAAAAAATGAGTTTACGTTGGTTTTTAAATAGAAATTTAAAAATTTAACTAATAAATTTTTCTTTTCAATTTTTTTTTTTCAAATAATTTTTTTTTCCAATTATAATGTGTATGATCTCATTTTCATAAATAATAAAAAATAAATATAAATATTTTAGATCTGAACAAACATATTTTTTAGTTTATATTTAAAAAAAATTTCAAACATTTTTTTCAAACCAAATGCATTTGTACTTTTTGTTATTTTTAAAAATAAATAAAAATCAATTTATAAAATTTTACAAACATAAATTAAAAACGTAAATATTACCAACCAGCTAAGTAATTTCCCACTTTGACTTCGCATCTCCTTTTCACATTTATGATTGACAATTGTTAAAATAAGCACCACAAATACTTCTTCACATACACTAATTATAAAGATTTTTCTTTTACAAATAATCTTCCCGAGCTACATCACATGTCCTCTTAAATTTGGAATATCTATATATATTTTTGGTACATAAAATTTGAGTTTATTGTCATTTTACTTGGCATTAATTAACTTGTATACAAATTATGCACTACTTCGTCCTGTTTGATTCGGTGCTTTGTTTTATTTTATTTTGTTTTGTTTTGTTTTGTTTTATTTATTTATTTATTTTTTGTTGGCTTATTTTGTCTTTAGTCATTTTTTTATTTTTTTTAAAAAAATATTTAGGCTTCTAGATTGTACTCAATGAGATGGATTGGAAAATTTTAAAAAATTAAAAATTTCAAAAAAAGTCTAGAAAAAACAAAAATAAACAAAGAATGGTTATTTTATTTATTTATTTGTTTGTTTATTTTGGATTTTAAAAAAATTAAAAATTTTAAATTTTTTATTTTATAGATTTGTCTACATAAGACAAACTAGAAAAGTAAAAAAATTTGACATAATTTTGAAAAACAATCTTAAAGATAATAAAATAAAATAAAATAAAATAGAGGAAAAAATGTAGCTTATGTGGGAGTTCATAGGGCCTTTTTTTATGATATTGTCTTTTTAATTTTTAGAATTGTGCAAGAGTGGCAAAACTTGTGATTAAAGTTTACTACATAAAAATAATTTTAAAAAATTAAGCAATATTTTTTATGACTTTCTAGTTATCAAATATTAGTTTGATAGAAGTTGTAAACATGCACAAAGTTCAAGTTACTAAAAATTTATAATTATTGTGCAATTCCCGCGTTGCGTAAGAATGGTATTTGTATACTTAGAATGGTTCATTATGTTTTTCACAACTTAGTTTTTTTTTATCTTCAATTTCTTGTATCTGTAACATGAATTATTTTTTTTAAAGCAATGTAACATGAATTTTTTTTTTTAACTTTTACAGTATTAGTCTATTGCTTTAAAGTAGGAAATATCTCCATCTTCCATAAGAAAGTTTGTCCTCGTTAATGCTTAAAATATCTTTGCAAAGCCTAACTTCTTTGGAACATCTGATTAGATATCAATGCAAAAAAAAAAGTCCAGAATCCTTGACTCTTGGTTAGGGTTACAAATGAATAAAGTCATTCGTGAAGAGGTTCAAATTCAGCTTCATAAGAGCTTGTTTAAATTCGGTTCGTTAAATTTTTTTTTGCGTTCGAGCGCGAGCTCGAGCTCGTTAAATTTTTAATAAACAAGGTCAAACATTCTAAAGTTTAGCTCCTAAACTGGACTCGTTAGCTGGCTCGTTTAATATTTATTATTTATATTTTAAATAATATAAAAATATGTATAAAAAATAAGATAAATATGTTATTTATATATTTAAAAAATATAAATGTAAATAATAGTTAACTATAGATAGTACATTTATATAATAGTGGTAGTAGATATTATTATTTTGATAAAATATTGACTTTTTTTTAAGAATATTTATATATATATTGTATAATAAAAGTTTAAATTATAACTTTAGTCTCATACGCAAGTATGAATTTATAAATTTTTTAACCCGTTAAAGCTCGTGAACCAGCTTGAGCTCAAGGCAAGCTTAAGCCAACTCGACTTGAGCTCGATTCGTTAAATTTTTATTGAGTTCGAACTCGAGATCAAATTTGTTAAAATTTTAATAAATAAATCTAAATATACTAAATCTCAGTTCAACTCGACTCGTTTACAATCTTTTTTGCTCTCTTAACTTGTTCAAAAACAATTAAAATCTTTACACATTTACAAGCTATACTTTATCATCAGATAGCAATGAAAATTTGTTGCTTTTAAGTGTATTTTTTTGGCACCAAGGATCCTCTAGACTGAAATTTTCCTAAAGTTTCCTAGAGCGCTATATTGTGTGGTTGAGATTTACTGGCAAGTCACATCAGAAAAATTGATGTGACTTGCCAGTAAATCTCAACCATACACTCTAGCACTTTAGGAAACTTTAGAAAAAAATCACTCTAGAGGATCCTTGCTCTTTTTTTGGGGAGATACTGATTAGCTACATACACACAGCAACGTGTAGCTTTTTTATTGGCTGTGATCCACTTAGGTGAAAGTGGGATTTGATCTTAGATTTTTAATACAATTTTGCTCAAAGATTTTAACTAGCGCATCTTCAGTTGATACTTTAATTAATCCTAAACAAATAAATAAACAAAAAGACACCTTTGATGATATTTTGGTCTCTATTTTAGTTATCATCTGATTTTTTTTATCAGTTAACTATATTTTTATATTTCCATTAGTGTTTTGTCTTTATTTAAGTAATAGACTGATGTATATACTTCCAAAACAGACCATGGGGCATAGATGAGAGTGATGAGAGCGTTTGGGGTTCCAATAGAACCCTTGTTTGATGCTCATTATGAAGGACCCCAAGCCTTTAGGCCCACAAGGACCTCATAATTTTATTTATTTAATTTTTTATAATAAGATATTTTGGTCAATATATATGCGCGAATCGCAATTAATTTTGAAACTCTAAAATTAACGATGAGACAAACTTCCAATGACCTTAAAATGACTCAAACTCAAAAGCTTGTATATATTGTAGAATTACCCATAAATTAGAGAGAATAATAAATAGTATAAATTCTTAAAAAACCCATGGCCCCTAGCTTTCCCTCTATGGTATCTTTTAAACTTCAATTATTTTATTTGCACAAAATTAATTAGAGAATTCGACACAATTTTCTCATATATATGTGAGACTCACAAAAAGTAAGATTCAAATCAAGTGAAAGGATTGTATTTAATTCTGTGATCAATTTCTATATTTGTTAGACTTTTTCATTAAAGCTATAGCTAATTTTTTCAAGTGCATGGCATTCTCATTTCATTATTGTGTTGATCTTTACACACACACACACACACACACACACACATATATATATATATACAGATATAATTACTTTGATAGTTGGTTAGAAACTAAACTAAATAATTAGAACTAACCTTGATCCAAGTTCTGTAGAGGTCAGACTCATCAAAGCCATTAACAACTTCCTCAACAAAGTACTTGGTGGTACTGATGAGCTTATTGTCTCCCTTCTCTTTGTCAATATCATGATCAAACTGTTCAAGTCTCAACTTCTCTTCAAACCTTTTCTTTTCATTACCACTACTACTACTGTTGTTGCCATGAACTCCTCCTCTCCCTGCTCCTGCATCCAATATCGCTTCCAAGTACCCGTTTATCCATTCATTCCTCGCCATCTCTATCCCTTCTCGCCCCGTTTTTTTGTTTTTGTTTTTCTTGCTTCCAATCAAGCAACTTCAAGCAAAAGATAATGAGAGAGAGAGTATATAATATGTATGACTTCTAAATTATCTAAAAGTTTATAAAAATGTATATAAACAATAATAGGCTATGTATGATGAATTGAGTGAAAAAAGGGCGAACTGTCTGTTCTGTGTAGAAAGTGCAAAAAGAAAAGGTAGGCACGGAGAAAGAGAGAGAGAGAGAGAGGTATGGTTTTGAGGATTTGCAGTTAGAAACCGATTTGGAAGAGGAGAAGCTTGGCCACCTTTATAAAGGCCTAATTTTTTTATTTGTTTTTGTTTTTATTTTTTTTCAGTATATACGATACTAATTAAAAAAAAAACAACGCCCAATTAATACATATTAATGTGTGTTTGGAGAGAGAAAAGAAAATAAATTAAAACCAGAATTTTGGTTGGGTTGAGTGGTGGCTTTGGTGCCTTTCTTTTATGGGGTATATTAGCTAGACATCCTTATTATTCTTCGTCTTATTATTATTCTCCACATACAAAGTTATACCCCTTGCAATTCTTTCATTTTTCTTATGTCCAATTTGATGCCCCCTTTTTTGCATTCTCTTCTTACACACACATACACACATATAGTATGAAAAAAGAATCATTCATTTGTTTGGCATCTTTGATTTGCAAGTCTAGTAATTTCATACTTACCCAAAAGAAAGTCCAGTAATTTCATCCTTCCAATATTTTAATGAAAACGATATATAAGTCTATTTTTAAACCCAATGATATGTAAAAGAGATGATTAGCCGGTAATCAGAAAAGATATGAGAGAGAGATAATTATCTTAGATATTTTAATAGGCTATCACATCATTAAGTTTAAAAAATGAGTTTGTGTAACACTATTCATACTCTTTAACTGCATTCATTTATTATTATTTTTTTTCCCTTCTTCTCTTGTATTGCATATTTGAAAAAGTTGTATGTGCATTTATTTTTTAAATTTTGTATTCTTTATAAATCATGACTCTTCCATGGGAAATTCTATGGTACACACTCCTTTTGAGATGTGTAACGTATGCACCTTTGATTACGATCTTTATAGTCTTTAATTATGATTCATTGTGGTTTAATTATGACTTATTGTGATATTAATTATAACATTATTTTAGTTATGATCCAAGAACTCTTTGATTATTCTTTAAGTAGTGTTTGGTTATATTATATTTATAATAATTAAACTCACAAATGTCATAACTTACATATGGTACACCCATTTTCAGAATGTACCATATCATTATCCCTCTTTCATATAACTTTTATGTACAATATATATATATATATATATATTCTCTTGACCTAGGTACCTTTTTTCCTTCTTTCAATTTCATGTGTCACACAACATTCTTAGCTCTCTCTTTTTCAACTATTTGGGTTATTTTTTAGTTTGTTTAAATTGTTATTGTTTATTTCTTATCTATTTTTTTGGGTTATTTTTTAGTTTGTTTAAATTGTTATTGTTTATTTCTTATCTATTTTAAAAATATATATATTTATGACCCTAATATAGTTGGTAGTTTTTTTAGAAAAATTATAAAACAGTTATATTAATATAGTTGGTAGTTGATTGTCAAGTAATTGAGACAAAACAAAATATATGTAATAGTAAATCTTTGGTTGTCTTCAATCTTTGACACCTTGGCCAATTTGGATGACCTTGGTATGCATGCGTTGGCCGAGGGAGCCATGGTTGGTCATGACTCGAATTTCAAAAGAAAAGGGTAGTACTAGTTAGGTTGTGGTGATGGGTTGGTCGAGAGGGATAGTGATGGCATTCTAATAATGCCATAGTCATTCTTGTAAGGGTGCGAGTCATGAGATGTGGAGTGGCATGTGCACAAAGTGATTGTCGTGAGTGGGTTGGGGAAGATTGGTAAGGGTGGTGATGAGAGGTAATGGTAAATGTGGGGAGAGGAGTAGGAGCAGGTGGTGGTTGAGGGGTAAGAGCAGGTGGTTGTTGAAATGTTAGGAGAAGAAAAGGGGGATAAGGTAATAGGATAAATTGTCTTTGTATGTGAGGGTGATTTGATCATTTTGTTTACTAACCATAAAGAAACTTTGTAGTTTGAATTGCAACTTTTCCTCTTTAAATGATTAGAAATTCTAGTGTTTTTCTTAGCGTTAAATCCTTTATGGGATAAATATTTTACCAACACGCGAATTTAACTGAAGTTTCTATTTACATGAATTTTTTAGTACATCTCTTTATCTATTGTAACATTTTTACTTTGTGAAAAAAAGACATATACACACAAATATAAAGACATATTAATGTGGTGTGATTAGAAGTTTCGAGTTTAACCCTTTAGTTCATGCATTTTTTAATATCTTATTATAAGATGGAACAACAATGCAATATAAATTGGGATTTTTAATGCTAATTCTCTTACTATATTGTTATAGTAATAACTTGTACTTTGGTGTGATCCAAAACAACTAATTAATCTGTAAAATGTAATTGACATTTATTCATCATTTGTAAAAAATGTGGCCAAATAAGATATGGTGTGTATATTTGGATATGGGATGTGCCAAAAAAATATGGAAATAGCACATCTCTTCGTACCATTATCTTTTATATTTTAATTTGTGGACTTCATCCTGGACCATGACAATAATTTTGAACCGTTCATTTCATAAACTTAGCAGTAAAGACGAGTTGTGCAAGAAATCAGTTTAATTGAACATCACTAGACACATAATCAAATTATATTTTGCTCTTTACAATAGACCAAAACTATAAGTTTGAATATAAATTGTCCATTTTATAAAATAAAATGTGATTTGTTCATATATTCATCAATATCTGATGAAATCAGATGATCTTAATTACAAAATTTTAAAAATGAATAGTTCATATCATTATTATTAGCTCAAAGTGAGACCCACAAAATAAAATATAAAAGAAAGGATAATGCTATGGTACCATATACAAGTTATAACATTTGTGAATTTGATTATCACAAAAGGTTATAACTCAAACCTATAGGAATCATAATTTAATATATATATATATATATATATATGAGTTATAACTAAACACCACATAGGCATAACTAAGGAATTTTTGGATCACAACTAAAATAATTTCATAATCAACATTACAATAAATCATAATTAAAATTATAATAGATTATAATTAAATATTATAAAAATCGTAATTAGAGATGTATAATAGTACACATTGCATAAAATTTAATATGAAGGCTAATAATATAAAGCAAATAGTTGTCGGTCGAAGTAAAACTTCCAATGAAATTGCTTAAGACAGGTCCTATTAAGTTCATTGATTGGTTTTGATCATTCCATTCTGTAAATAGACCAGAAATTAAATAGATATTCTTGATCAATGTGACAAAAGTAATGTGTACGTCCAAACACTGGATTATTAGCTATAGCTAGAAGGCATGTGCCGACATGTCCATCGCAATCTAACAGTTAAAGGTAATTTTTCAGTAATTTCGAATTATGGATCTCTGATATTTTATAGTATTATGATGGATAGAAAAAATAGATAAATAAAATATTATGTTGAGTGATTAAAAAATATGAGGGTGTATTGAATGATAATTAGTTAAAGAGTACAGATACGTGATATTTTGAAAATATTAAATAATTTTTCCAGTTAAAAACAATTTTTGGGTTCTCAAAAAAAAAAAAAAAATGATTTAATTAATATATTTGTGGAATCAGATACCTAGAATAGGGGCAATTAATGGGTTCACAAGAATAATCCACTTGGGTGACTAGGATTGGCTAATAAAAAACAAAAATAATTTATGCATTTTGGCAAAAGGTTTGTTTTGGAAAAGAAGGAAGAAAAGAATCTTAGGAAAGATAGAGAGAAAAAAAAAAATTTAAGGTGAGAAGGAGAAAAAACAAAAAGAAATATTGAAAAAAAGAGAGGTGCCAAGGTCTTTTAGTGGCAAGTGGTATGAGAGAGTATTTGGGTTGGGTGTTTAAATTTTGCCAGAATAGGGTAAATCGAAAAAGCTTCTTAAATTCTTATCTGTTCCACTATTCTTGTCACTTAACGGGGTCTCCTTTCTCATCATGCAACAAAAATTAAATTTTCAAACTAAGTAGGAATCCAATTTTCTTAGACTCGAATATTTAAAATTTTATTATTTTCACATTGACTATCCTAACAAAACAAAACCCTTCAATAACATCGATACATGAACTTCATTATTACTAGTAATGTCATTATTAGTAATGGGATTACCTTCCCTTCAAGATTTTCGTCATCCTAACATTATTTTAGGAGTAACATTATCTGTATTTCCAAACCTAAAAAACAGAAAAGAAAAGAGAGATAGGTCTAGTGTATGGACATGGAGGGTTGGGAAGGTTACATCACATCAGAAGAACAAAGGGCTCAAGTGGATATTATTAGTAGTAGAGCATTGGAGGCAATGGAGGTGGGGGGAATTAGTTGAAAAACACCAAGATGCAATCCCAATGGATATTTCAAGGAATATCCAATTGGTTTAATTAAAAGACTCTCTCTTATCAAATTTGTGGCCATCCAACTTTTCCCACCTCCAACCTTCCCAAGAATTATATGCCACTTGCATGCATTTTTTTGACATTCCAGTCACTTAACTAAGTTTTATATATAAATGTAAATTTATATACACGTATATGGATGAATGCATAGATAATATATATATGGTAACAGCCCTGTTGGTGTGGATCTCATTTGAAACTATGTTGCTTATTTTCTCATATTCAAATTGCCTGTATGCAACTGTCCAGGTTTTTTATGTTAAATTTTGATTTCTTCAAAAAAATTCCCCCTCCATCTACATGTATCTATATATTATTTTTAGAAAAATGGTTATAATTTACAATCGTCTCTCATTTCTACCCATGCATTGCGTGTGTGCCATAACTTCTAATATATACAGTGGCGGAGCCACACTTGGTCCAGGGGGTCACGTGCCCCCCGGTTTTGGAATAATTTTTTTTTTTTAGCAAATATAAAAAAACATTTTAAATAAAAAAAATTATAAAATATTATTTAGAGTGAAATATCAATGTCATTTTTCAAATTATGAGAATAATAATGGTTATTTTTTTTAATGAAAATATAGATATTACGATAAGTCATATTATTATCTATGAAAATTTCAATACAATGGTGATGTCCGTCATTATTAACATGCAATTATAATTAATCTCAATGAAGATATGAAATTTATTGAATTGTTAGTTACA